TTTTTATTTTTGGGACAGAGAGAGACAGAGCATGAACGGGGGAGGGGCAGAGAGAGAGGGAGACACAGAATCGGAAACAGCCTCCAGGCTCTGAGCCATCAGCCCAGAGCCTCATGCGGGGCTCGAACTCCCGGACCGCGAGATCGTGACCTGGCTGAAGTCGGGCGCCTAACCGACTGCGCCACCCAGGCGCCCCGATCAGCTCCAATTTTCATGTTAACTTTGGACCTTTTGGAAATAAGGCTAGACTCTCTGCTGCCTGATTTTGTATGCCACCAAGCCAAGAATAATCTTTAAAGGGTCATCTAAAAAACAAAGACCGGCATGCCTAAGAGACCCATATATGGCCCTCAAAGCCCAAAATGTCCTCTCTGGCCTTTTACAGAAAATTTGCTAACCACTGGGTCATAACATTCCTTTCAAGAAAGCACATTATTAGAAGTACAGCAGTGTCTTTCTTGAGAGTTGTATTTGGCTGTTAAATGGCCAGGATCAGAACCCAGACCTTCTGAGTCAGTACCAATTTTCCTCTGCTACGAAGCCTGTCTGTGAGGCTCTGATAGAACACAGTGCAACCTGGAAAAGCCAGCTTAGGACTTCATTGCCATCTTGCTTGTTAATACTGGTACAGCGACATCTCTGGGGAAAACAATGGTATGAAAGAAAGAATTAAAAAACGTAAAGTATGAAAGAGAGTAGAAAATATCTTGTCTCTGTTATTTCTTCCCTGAAGTAAGGCTTTATCTTTGTAAGCCCCAGATTTTAGGCACTTCTCCCATTTGGACTGATGTCAGTTCCCTCGGAAATGTAGCAATAGGTCACCTTGAAAGAAAATGAACTTTGGCATCGAGGAGACCAGGGCTCAAACGCCAGCACTGACACTTGCTAGTTTGTGGTATCCTTGGGCCTTATTTTGCTCACCCAGAAAATGGAACGACTTAGGGGCTGTTTGAAGGAAACAGAAAAGTGCTCTGGTTGAAATGTGGCTAGCACAGCACCTTTTCCTTTGTCTGTAGGTCTCAAATGACTTTTCATTCTTGTGCACTTCCATAGTGAGGACAGCGTTCAGATTTGTATACTCCCATGGCACATGTAACCATAAATTGCCGACATCTCTGTATGCATGCACCGTTTATGTTCTTAGAACTCAATTTATACTTAAAGAGTTCTGACTGTAACTATAACACGCCTAATGCACCTGTCAGTGGTCAGTGAATATCAAAACTGAAAGCCAAGGCACAAAATAGAAAAATATCTTCACAGGCTTTAATTCTTAATAAGGAATTTTAAAAAAATATTATTTTTATTTAATGGAGTTCTTTTAGGAAATGATATACATCACTGCCATTGAGAATTACTGGTTTAGTATCTTAGCATTGACAAACAAATAGAAAATAAAAATGAGAAAATTGTATTTTTTTAAGATACTATAGAAAAATACTAGGTTATAAAATACAAATAATATGTTACATGAAATTCTCATCTTCAACATTTGTTAGTATTTGGGGTTTTTTCTTTCTTTTTTGTGAACTCTTATTCTAAAAACTGCTTTTGAAAATCAGGGAGAATGTTAAAGGTACATTTTATTTTTCAGGCCTATAATAGGTCCTGCATTACCACCTGGTTTTATTAAATCTACTCAGAAAAGTGACAAAGGCCGAGATGATCCAGGACAACAAGTATCATCATATTTCAACTATGAGGTTTGGAAATTTTTTGATTAAAGCAAAAGATGTAACAAACTCAAGACTTTGCAGAGTAATAACTATGTAATCATTTGGCTCAAATGTAACTAATATGCAGTCACACAGTTGCATCCACATTAATCTAGGATTGTAAGGTATACTAAATCAGAAGCTTGTCACAGAACTGAGATGTTATAAAAAAATAATAAGGCAGTTACATGTTGACAGAATGTGATCCATTCATGCTTCTCATCCTTGAAGGCAATGTTTACAGTGCCAGAAAATACAACATGATGAAAAGTTTAAGGAATCATGGTGATTTGACCTGAAAAAAAGACAGCTGAGGAATTTTTTGATAATGGTCTACCTTGAAATTAGTTGTTATCCATCCATCTCTGGTGCCTGTATTTAACAAAGCTGGTGGTTAAATGATTTTATGAAAAGATAGGTCAATGATTTTAGAGTCAAGTATGAAAGCTGTTTTCTTGTTAGAGGCCTGGTCCTTACCAATAGCTGAGATTTGTAGAGTACTTTATAATTTGTAATGCTTTTTCCCCATATATGAATATTATTTTCTCTGCAACGTTATGAAATAGATATTATCCGCCATCTGACAGATACTAAAAACTAGAGAAATTTGGTAACTTACCCAAGATTGCACACTTTGCACTAATCAAAGCCAAAGCTTAAACCAAGTTCTTCTTTTTTTCTTTTTAAGTTTTTTATTTTTAAAGATTTACTTTTAAGTAATCTCTACACTCTACAAGGGACTCAAACTCACAACCCCAAGATCAAAAGTTGCTTGCTCTCGGGTGCCTGGGTGTCTCAGTCAGTTAAGCACCGACTTCAGCTCAGGTCATGATCTCACAGTCCGTGAGTTCGAGCCCCACATCAGGCTCTGTGCTGACAGCTCAGAGCCTGGAGCCTGCTTCGGATTCTGTGTCTCCCTGTCTCTCTGCCCCTCCCCTGCTCATGCTCTGTCTCAAAGATAAATTAAAAAAAAAAAAAACATTAAAAAAGTGGTGTTGTTTTTTTTTTTAATAAAAAAAAAAGAGTCGCTTGCTCTCCTGACCAAGCCAGCCAGGTGCCCCTTACGCCTAGTTCTTTTTTTTTTTTTTTTTAATTTTTTTTTTTCAACGTTTATTTATTTTTGGGACAGAGAGAGACAGAGCATGAACGGGGGAGGGGCAGAGAGAGAGGGAGACACAGAATCGGAAACAGGCTCCAGGCTCCAGGCTCCGAGCCATCCGCCCAGAGCCTGACGTGGGGCTCGAACTCACGGACCATGAGATCGTGACCTGGCTGAAGTCGGACGCTTAACCGACTGCTCCACCCAGGCGCCCCAAGTTCTTAATGCTTTAGATCACCTGTTCAGTCTGTTATTCTGTAGTAACTTCCTGGATGTTCATCTCTATTGAGAACTGAGCAGTTACACTGTGGCTGTTACCAAGGAAAATATAATGCAGTGGTTAAGACCATGAACTTCAGAGTGATTTACTCCTTCCTTCAACAGCTACTTAGTACCTACTACAGTGTATGAGGCACATGGTCACAGGAATGAGTCTGTCAACAAGTCTAGTTCCTCCCACCTTCAAAGGACATCCACAGTCCAACCATTTCTGCTCCTCCCCTAGTCTAAGTCAAATCATAGTTCATCTGTTTATTGGTCTTGATATTTTAAACCTTGTTTTTCTGTTACCTCCTCTCAACACGGCAGCTAGAGCCTGGGCAAAATGAAGTCAGATTGTGTCACTCACACTCAGAACTATCACACTGCTCCTCCTCTCTCTACATAAAAGCCAAGCCCTGGGGCACCTGGCTGGTTCCGTAGAGCGTGCGACTCTTGATTGCGGTGTCATGAGCTTGAGCCCCATGTGAAACGTAGAGATTACTTAAGAAAAATGAAAAATAAAAACAATAAAAAAACAGAGCCATTACACTGTGCTGACAGCTCAGAGCCTGGAGCCTGCTTCGGATTCTGTGTCTCCCTCTCTCTCTGCTCTTCCCCCACTCATGCTTTGTCTGTCTCTTCTTCAAAAGTAAATAAATATTTTTTAATTAAATAAATATTAAAAAAAATTTTTTTAATAAAATTAAAACTAGAGCCCTACACATTGTAATGTCTCCTTGAGCTCCGTGATTTTCTCTCTTAACGTCAATCTGACCACACTGTGCTCCTTGCTGTACCTCCTCACTTACGCCCAGCAGGCTCCTGCCCCTGACTGTTCTTTCCTGCAAAGTCTCCCCAGAGTGGTCTTCCCCTAGATATCTATGTGGCTTGCCTCTCAGAGCTTCCGTGTTGGGCTGGAATGTCACCTTAGTGAGGTCGTTTCCGACCTCCTAGCTCAAAATTACTATCTCCTCTTCCCTTTACTCGTCTCTCCTTCTGGCCTTTAATTCTCTCCATAGCATCTGTCAGCACCTCAGATACCATCTGTTACTGCTTCTTTCTGTTTATTGTTGACCTCTCCCCACTGGAATGTTGAGGACGGAGATTTTGTCTTCTCCCTAGGGGCATTCGGAAGTATTTGTTGAATGAATGAGTACGTTAGACATAGTCCCAGATAATCACACTAATCAACCTGCAGGGTAATGGGGAATATGGACATTACACAAACATCTAACATTATGAGTGATTCAAAAGGTGAGACAAGGGGTGCCTGGGTGGCTCAGTTGGTTGATCATCTGACTTCGGCTCAGGTCATGATCTCACCATCCATGAGTTTGAGCCCCGCATCAGGCTCTGTGCTGATAGCTCAGAGTCTGGAGCCTGTTTCAGATTCTGTGTCTCCCTCTCTCTCTGACCCTCCCCCATTCATGCTCTCTCTGTCTCAAAAATAAATAAACGTTAAAAAAAAAAATTAAAAAAAAAAAAAGGGTGAGACAAAATACTATGGAACCATGACAGGGGAATCTAAACTAACCTAAAGAAATGAGAAAAACTCTTTGTCTCTGAGAAAATGTCTAAACTGAAGACTGATGCGTTGGAGATGTCTCAGCAAAGAGGGCAGGAGAGATTGTTCCAGAAAGCACAGATAGCTTATTTGAAGAGAAAGCAGTGTAGAGAGGAGGAAAGTTAGGGCTTTAGAAGTTCAGTGTGAGGGTACCCGGGTGGCTCAGTCAGTTAAGTATCCGACTTCGGCTCAGGTCATAATCTCGCAGTTCATGGGTTTGAGCCTCGTGTTGGGCTCTGTACTAAAAGCTCAGAGCCTGGAGCCTGCTTCAGATCCTGTGTCTGTCTCTCTCTCTCTGCCCCTCCCCGACTCACTCTCCAAAAATATAAACATTAAAAAAAATTTTTTTTTTTTCAAAAGAAGTCCAGTGTGCTTGGAGGGAAGAGAACAGGAGAGAGAAGGCAAGAGCCATTGGCTCCTGGGTGAGCTTAGTTTCATGTCAGTATCATGCAGGTTGTTATCCTTGTCTTAGAGGGTTGTTGGTGAGGATTAAGTCAGAACATTTTCAACTTATAATAGCTCTCGTCATGGTTGTTATTCTTAACACCTTCACTACTGATACCATCAGAGTATTTTTTTTCTATAATTCATTTATTTTTTTATAATTTACATCCAAGTTAGTTAGCACATGGTACAACAATGATTTTAGGCGACGAAAAGGTCCTCATTGCTCAGTGATCAGCCAGCAATACATTGTTTGCGTTTTTGTCTTATTGTCTCTAAGTAATCCGTTGCAGTGAAATTTTAAGTATTTTAGGATCATTTTCTATAACCTATGGCTCTGCTCCTGGTTTAAAGGCAATGTCTTATTTCAAAAGGAAACAGATAGCAGTGAAGATGAGGACATTGTTGGACCCATGCCTGCAAAAGGACCAGTTAACTACAGCGTCACGACAGAGTTTGAAAAAAGGGCCCAGAGAATGAAAGAAAAACTGACCAGAGGAGATGATGTAAGTTTTAAATATACTATACTCTGAGAAATTGGCTAAATGGATTAAAAATCTAAATTTTAAAATCGAGATGAAAGAAAATATATGCGTTATGTATATAAGTAATATAAATAAATAATGTAATTAATAATATAAATAAAATATATGCAATATGTATATAAAGAAAACTTAGGAGCAAGGTAATCTAGAAGCTGTAAAAGGAAAAGACTGGCAAATTTGCCTATTTAAAAATTTCTGTGTGGCAAAAGATAACGAAGTCAAAAGAACAATAAATTGGATGAGATAATTGTAACATATATGACAAAATATAATCCTTTATATTAAATTCTTTCTCTTAAAGCCTCAATTGAGAAACACGACCACTTATACAGTATCTTACAAACGCTTTCTGGGCTACTTTTCTTTTTTTTTTTTGACTGTTTGATTTTTTACTTCTCTTAAAGAATTCATCCAAACCAATTACAAGAGAGTCATGGATGACTGAGCTTCCTCCAGAAATGAAAGACTTTGGTCTCGGGCCCAGAACTTTTAAGAGACGAGCCGATGAGAAATCTGGGGATCGATCGGTCTGGACAGACACCCCAGCTGACAGGGAGAGGAGAGCTAAGGTGAGAGAGCTTGTTTGTGCATGTATTTCTGCCCATGTTGGCTGTATTTTGAAAACATAGAAGGCATGATGATTTAAAGGTACTATTTTTAAATTATGATTCCAAAGGGAAAATACAGATTTCTCCCTGAAAGAAAATAAGGACAGTGACACCAATTGCTTGCGATTTCCCAATGAATTATCTCATTTAAATCTCAAGAAAACCCAGAGATCTGGACTTACTGACTTCATTTTATAGAGGGAGAAACTAACTTTTATGAGGTCCACTTTTCTGGAATTAGAGGGCTGATTAGTAATGAATAATAATTCTATTCTAGACCTTTCTATAATTCTAAATTCTCTAGTCCTTATATACCATCATACTGTCTCCATGAAACTAAAGCCACGGGTTCACCTAGGTTAAATGATACCTAGAGATTCTCCCACAAAATGACCTTACTTCAGGTGCACTATGATTTGTGTTACTGTCAAAATAGGCAAGAAATGCTTTCATCGATAGTGCTGAATACTATATGATCTCCCTTCTGTGCAGAATCTAAAAAAACAAACCAGAAAAAAAAAAAAAAAACAGTCATGGATATAGAGAATAGACTGGTGGTTGCCTGGAGGTAGGGGGAGGCAAAATGGAGGAAGTAAATAAAACTCATGGGGACATATGTACAGCATGGTAACTATACTTAGTAATACTGTATCGCGTATTTGAAATTAGCTAGGAGAGTGGATCTTGAAAGTCCTCATCACAAATGGAATAAATGTTGGTAGCTGTATATGGTGATGGAAGTTGACCTATTTTGATTATTTTACAATATATAACAAATATTGAATCATGTTGTACACCTGAAACTAATAAAATGTTTCATCAGTTATACCTCAGTTTTTAAAAAAAGAAACGCTTTCATAAGTGCGTTAAATAATTTGCTAAAAAGGAAAAGAAGTTTGGATAGAATGCATTATTGACTCTGCTTTTTACAAAATCTTCCATTATAAATTAGGAATTGAACCACTGTGGGGCACCCGGGTGGCTCAGTCGGTTAAGCATCCGACTTCGGCTCAGGTCATGATCTCGCGGTTCGTGAGTTCAAGCCCCGCGTCAAGCTCTGTGCTGACAGCTCAGAGCCTGGAGCCTGTTTCAGATTCTGTGTCTTCCTCTCTCTCAGACCCTCCCCTGTTCATGCTCTGTCTCTCTCTGTCTCAAAAATAAATAAACGTTAAAAAAAAAAAAAATTAAAAAAAGGAATTGAACCATTGTAAATTAGAAGTACCCCCAGCACTACTTCTTAAATTTACCCCATCCGAAGGTTTTTACTCCCTTTAATTCAAATTTGAATCCTTGAGTAATTGGTACCCAAAGGCTACAGCTTTCCAGTTTTGACTTCCATAGTTCCACACTTCATTCATTCCTCTACTCTGTTTATCTTCTCCATCAGTACCAAGAATTATGAGACCTTCTCTTTTCATTCTGTAACTATAGATTGAATACCTTCTCTGCCAGGCATTCAGTTTGGTTGTAGGTAATAGCAAAATGGAAAAGCTTTTTTTTTTTCTCAAGCTTATTTATTTTGAGAGAGAGAGAGAGAATGAGAGAACACATGTGCACACAAGTAGGGGAGGAGCCGAAAAAGAAAGAGAGAGAGAGAGAGAGAGAGAGAGAGAGAGAGAATCCCAAATAGGATCCAGGCTGGCACCCAGAGCCCTATCTATGCAGGCTCGATCTTAAAAACCATGAGATCATGACCTGAGCCGAAATCAAGAGTCAGACACCTAACTAACTGAACCACCCAGGTGCCCTGGAAAAGCTTCTTATGGAGTTTTCATTTTAGTGGAGAATTGGTTATAAAATACCCCGTGTTACCCTTTTTTTTTTTTAATGTTTATTTATTTTTGAGAGAGAGAGAGGGACAGAGCACGTGCAGGGAAGGCCCAGAGAGAGAGACACAGAATCCGAAGCAGGCTCCAGGCTCTGAGCTGTCAGCACAGAGCCCGATGTAGGGTTCAGACCTACAAACTGTGAGATCATGACCTGAGCTGAAGTCAGATGCCTAACCGACTGAGCCACCCAGGCGCCCCCCGTGTTATTCTTAAAATGTGGATGTAATGTCTCCAGATTTTAGCACCCTACCTTGCACATGTGGCAAAATTGTAAATTCTCTTTGGTCCAGAAGATTAAGGGAAGTCTAAGAGTTGTAATAGAAAGTTGAGGTGAACCAACACACCTGAGGCAGAAGAAGCAACAGAAAAGGTGGTGTGGGGGCACCTGGGTGGCTCAGCTGGTTGAGCATCCGACTTCAGCTCAGGTCGTGATCTCACAGTTCGTGGGTTCGAGCCCCGCGTTGGGCTCTGTGCTGACAGCTCAGAGCCTGGAGCCTGCTTCGGATTCTGTCTCTCCCTATCTCTGCCCCTCCCCCACTCGTGCTCTGTCTCTGCCTCCAAAAAATGAATCAACCTTAAAAAAAAAATTTTTTTTTTTTAAAAAGAGGTGGTGTGGAAGTAAGCCGCATGCTTTGAATGACTAGTGTTGCGGTGCCTGTCTACTCTTTCTTAACTGGTGTTTTATAAAAATAATATATTGGCATTTTTGTAGTTTAGCCTTTAAGATTGTCTCCAGAAAAGACATTCCCTTGTTTACGTGAATTTATTCATGTCTATGTTAGTTGTGCTTTTCTCTCTCCTTCTGTTCCTCACTATAGGTAAATAGATGTCTAGCCTACAGCCAGATATGGAGGGACTCTTCTTCCGAGGAAAATATCAGAAAAATGGAGCAAATGGAAATTAGACAACCCAGTGATTTTAGGACCTATGATTAAGTTCTTCAGATCTTTTTCTTTTCAGTACTTGAAAGTGTTTTGTTCAGTTCTACAGCAAATTCATAAAGGGATTATTAATACTCCTTAAATTTTATGGGATACTATATTTAGCATATAGTACCACAGAGGTGCCTCGGTGGCTCAGTCGGTTAAGCATCCGACTCTTGATTTTGGCTCAGGTCATGATCTCATGGTTTGTGAGTTCAGGCCCCACATCGGGCTCTGCACTGACAGTGTGGAGCCTGCTTGGGATTCTTTCTTTCCTTCTCTGTCGGAGGCTTGTTCTTCCTCTCTCTCTCTCTCTCTCTCTCTCTCTCTCAAAATAAATAAATAAAAACTTTAAATAGTAGCGCATAGTACCACAGACTCATATTTATGGTATAAACTATACAGTATCGGAGAGCCATTCATTTTCTTGTGTATTTCATTCTGTGTAAAGTTTGTGACTAATTTTTGTCACAGATCTTAGCTAAATTTCCTTTTTGACAGACTTTCCCCATCTTTCCATTTTTGTTTCTTATGATGCCATCTTTTTTTTAAGCTTTTATTTAAATTCTAGTTAGTTAACCATACAGTGTATACAATATAGTGATTCAGCACTTCCATACAATGCCTGGTGCTCACAATTGCCCTCCTTAATCCCCATCACCTATTTAACCCATCCCAATACCCACTTCCCTTCTGGTAACATCAGTTTGTTCTCTATAGTTAAAAGTCTGTTTCTTGGTTTGCCGCTCTCTTTTTTTTTTTCTCATTTGCTCATTTATTTCTTAAATTGCATTATGAGTGGGGCACCTGGGTGGCTCAGTCGGTTAGGCATCCGACTTCAGCTTAGGTCACGATCTCGCGGTCTGTGAGTTCGAGCCCCGTGTCAGGCTCTGGGCTCATGGCTCGGAGCCTGGAGCCTGCTTCTGATTCTGTGTCTCCCTTTCTCTCTGCCCCTCCCCCGTTCATGCTCTGTCTCTCTCTGTCTCAAAAATAAATAAACGTTAAAAAAAAAAAATTGCATTATGAGTGAAATCATAATGGTGTTTGTCTTTCACAGACCTATTTCGCTTAGCATAATACTCTCTAGCTCCATCCATGTTGTTGCAAATGGCAAGATTTCATTCTTTTTTTATGGCTGGGCAATATTCCATTTATATATATACCACATCTTCTTTATCCATTCATCAATTGATGGACACTTGGACTGTTTCCATAGTTTGGCTCCTATAAACATCAGGGTGCATGTATCCCTTCAAATTATTATTTTTGTATTCTTTGGATAAATACCCAGTGCAATTGCCAGATTATAGGGTAGTTCTATTTTTACCTTTCTGAGGAACCTTCATACTGTTTTCCACAGTGGCTGCACCAGTTTGCATTCCCACCAACAGGCCACCAATGGTGTAAGAGAGTTCCCCTTTCTCCACATCCTCACCAACATTTGTTGTTTCTTGTGTTGTTGATTTTAGCCATTCTTACACGTGTGGAATATCACGTGGATTTGATTTGTATCTCCCTGATGATAAGTGATGGTGAGCATGTTTTCATGTATCTGTTGGCCGGCCATCTGTATGTCTTCTGCCCATTTTTTAATTGGATTATTTAGTTTTGGGGGGTTGCGTTTGATAATTTCTTTATAGGTTTTGGATACTAACTCTTTATCCAATATTCCATTTTCAAATATCTTCTCCCATTCCATAGGTTGCCTTTTAGTTTTGTTGATTGTTTCCTTCGCTGTGCAGAAGCTTTTTATTTTGATGTCGTTCCGGTAGTTTATTTTTTATTTTGTTTCCCTTGCAACATATCTAGAAGAAGTTGCTAAGGCCAGTGTCTAAGAAGTTACTGCTTGTGTTCTCTTCTAGAATATTTTATTTTATTTTATTTTATTTCATTTCATTTCATTTATTTTTAGAGAGAGCATGAGAGCAAGGAAATGGGGCAAAGAAAGAGAGAGAATCTTAAGTAGGCTCCATGCTCAGCATAGAGCCTGACGTGGGGCTCAATCCCATGACCCTTAGGATCTTGACCTGAGACAAAATCAAGAATTGGACGCTCAACCGGCTGAGCCACCCAGGCACCCCTCTTCTAGGATTTTTATGGCTTCAGGTCTCCCATTTAGGTCTTTAATCCATTTTGGATTTATGATTGTGTTTGGTGTAAGACAGTGGTTCAGGCTAATTCTATTTCATGTGGCTATCCAGTTTTCTCAGCACCATTTGTTAAAGAGACATTCCTTTTCCCATTGGATATTCTTTCCTGCTTTGTTGAAGATTAATTGACCATATATTTGTGGGTTCATTTCTGTGATTTCTGTTCTGTTCCATTGATCTAGGTGTCTATGTTTGTGCCAATACCATACTGTTTTGATTACTACAGCTTTGTAGTATAACTTGAAGTCTGGAGTTGTGATGCCTCCAACTTTGTTTTTGTTTTTGTTTTTGTTTTTGTTTTTGTTTTTGTTTCAAGGTTGCTCTGGCTCTTCAGAGTCTTCTGTGGTTCCGTACAAATTTTAGGAATGTTTGTTCGAGCTCCATGAAAAATGCTGTTGGTATTGTGATAGGGATTGCATTAAATGTGTAGGTTACTTTGGGTAGTAGTATTTGTTCTTCCAATCTAGGAGCCTGGAATGTCTTTCCATTTCTTTGTGTCATCTTGAATTTTTTTCATCAGTGTTCTATAGTTTTCAGAGCACAAGTTTTTCACCTCTTTGGTTAGGTTTATTCCTAGGTATCTTACTTTTTTGGCTGCAGTTGTACATGGGATTAATTCCTTAATTCCTCTTTTTCTCGCTTCATTATTGGTGTATACAAATGCAACAGATTTCTACACATTGATCTTGTACTATGTGACTTTACTAAATTCATTTATCAGTTCAGTTTTTTGGTGGAGTCTTTTGGGTTTTCTATATAGAATATCATGTCATCTGCAAAGAGTGAAAATTTCACTTCTTCCTTGCCGATTTGGATACCTTTTACTTCTTTTTGCTGTCTGATTGCTGTGGCTAGGACTTCCAGTACTGTGTTGAACAACAGTGGTGAGAGTGGACAACCCTGTCTTACTCCTGACGGTAGAGGAAAATCTCTGTTTTCCCCGTTTAGGGTGATCTTAGCTGTGGGTTTTTCATAGATGGCCTTTATCATGTTGAGGTTATGTTCCCTCTAAACCTACTTTCTTGAGGATTTTTATTACGAATGGATGTTGTACTTTCTCAGATGCTTTTTCTGCATCTATTGAAATGATCATATGGTTCTTACCCTTTGTTTTATTAATGTGATGTCTCACCCTGATTGATTTGCAAATACTGAGCCATCTTTGCAACCTAGGAATAAATCTCACTTGATCATAGTGAATGATTTTTATCATGTATTGTTGGATTCAGTTTGCTAGTATTTTATTGAGAATTTTTACATCTGTGTTCATCAGGGATATTGGCTTATAGTTCTCTTTTTTAGTGGTGTCTTTATTTGGTTTTGGTATCAGGGTAATGTTGGCTTCATGGAATGAATTTGGAAGTTTTCTTTTCGGTTTTTTGGAATAGTTTGAGAATAGGTATTAATTCTTCTTTAAATGTTAGGTAGAGGGTGGCTAACCTGGGTGGCTCAGTTAAGCCTCTGCCTCTTGATTTCAGTTCAGGTCATGATCTCATGGTTTGTGAGATTAAGCTCCATGTTGGGCTCCTTCCTGACAGCACAGTCCATTTGGAATTCTCTCTCTCCCTCTCTCACTGTCCCTTCCCCGCTCGGATACTTTTTCACTCAAAATAAATAAACATTGTTTTAAAATAAATAAATAAATAAAATTCGCTGACATCTATTATTACCTTACCTCCCAGTCTTGATTAGATCTGTTAACTCTTAAATATTAAATGGTCAGGTTTTTATCGCCATTTTACCATAATATCATTTTCCCCTTAATATTAATAAACGAAAGCATGTTTTCTAGGAAAATTTTTATGAGAAAATAAGAACTGAGCTATGCCTATGTTTTTAACATACTTTAGCAAATGCAGTGTTGTTTTGTACATGTGTTTTAAGTAGGCTCCACACCCAATGTGGGGCTTGAACTCAAACCCTAAGATCAAGAGTCATGTGTTCTACCATCTGAGCCCGCTAGGAGCCCCTGTTTTGTATATTATTAAGATAAACATTATAGATGACCTTTTTGGTTTTCTTAAGCAGATAACAACAATATTAAAATATGCTTTGAGAACAGTGCTTTTAAGTTGTTTTTATGTGGGCTTTTCTCATCCCTGGTTGGGACTGTATTCTCTAGAATTTTTTTTTTCTAATTAAAATTTGTTGGAAATCTATCTAAGTACTTCATCTTGTGTATACACTATTGTTAATTTTTTTTTAAGTTCGAATTCCAGTTGTTCGTTGTTGGTATATTTTGTATATTGACCTTGTATCCTGCAGCTTTGATCAAGTGTACTTTCTTATTAGAGTATTTTCATGGATGCTTTGGAGTTTTCTACATAAATAGTCATGTCATCTGTGAATAAAGATACTTTAGTATTTCTTTTCCAAACTGTAAACCTTTTCTTTTTCTTTATTTTTTTCCCTCAAGCATGATATTACTACTTTTAAAAACAGATAATGTAAGATTTCTTTTCTATTTTTTTAAGGCTTTATTTTTAAGTAATCTGTATATCCAAGGTGGGGCTCAGACTTACAACCCTGAGCTCAAAAAGTCACATGCTCTACCCACTGAGCCAGCCAGCTGCCCCTCTCAGATTTCTTTTAAAGCCTAATTTCCTCTCCTACAATTCATCATTATTTGTCAAACTCCTTTGTGAATTTGACACACACAACTAAGTAAATAGGTTTTTCTATTGATCTGAATAGGTTTTCTTCTTGTTTTCAAGAAAATCACTGAGTAGAACGTGAACTGATCCCTTACCAACTCTATTCATATTCCTAGTGGAAAAGATTCAACAAACTTACTCTAGTCTCTTATTTAGTCAATCTGAGTAAAAATAATAGTATTTCTTTTTTTTTTTTTTTCCCTTAACTATATGGTTCAGTAATGTGTTAACCTGTGTTCGTTCTTCAGGAAACACAAGAAGCAAGGAAGTCATTCAATAAGAAGGATGAAGAACATATATTGTCAGGAAGGGAAAAGAGATTGGCTGAGCAGGTGTCCTCATACAATGTGAGTAAGAATAAAATATATAAGCTTTTCTTTTTTTGTATCTTTCAATACTCTTCTTATATTTTCTTTCTTGTTTCTCATTCTTTTATATGTCTTCCTTTTTACCTCAGTGTTTTTCTGTACATCTGCCCTTAGAAATATTCCATTCTGTTGTATAATGTATAGTTATATAAAATCCTTTTTTTAGGCTTTTTGTAGGATTTTTTCATGTATTCATGTAATGTTTTCAGTTTGTAGTTTAATGAAGGAAGGAAGGAAGGAAGGAAGGAAGGAAGGAAGGAAGGAAGGAGGAAGGAATCATGTTTACATAAAGAAGTGGATGAGAATGGAATGCAGTTCATTATAGCGATCCATTCAATTTTTTTTTTTTTAATTTTTAACGTTTATTTATTGTTGAGAGACAGAGAGACACAGAGCATGAGCAGGGGAGGGGCAGAGAGAGGAAGAGACCTAGAATCTGAAGCAGGCTCCAGGCTCCGAGCTGTCAGCACAGAGCCTGACGTGGGGCTTGAACTCACAAACTGTGAGATCATGACCTGAGCTGAAGTCAGACGCTTAACTGACTGAGCCTCTCAGCTGCCTCTCCATTCAATTCTTTAAACAATTTCTGAGTTATTTACTTAAACCTCATAGTGATCTATTAACAGAAATTATTAATGATCTCTCAACTGTCAACTCATTAGGACCTCCTTCAGTATTTTTCACACTGGTCCAGTTACTTTATTTTCTTAATTTTTCTTTCTGGATGTATATAATGAGAATAACTTTTAGTTTGCGGAGGTGATGTGAAGATTACATTATAGTAAATGATCAGTAAATCTGACACATGGCATTTATGAGTGATTCTCATATACCTGACACTGTACTAAATCCTTTTTAATTACGTCATTTAACTCCTCCCCACCCAAATATTTGAAAATGATTACTACCATTTTACAGCTGATAAAATGAAGTTCAAATTGTTTGCCCAAGGTTACCAGTGTTGAAACTAGCAGGACCACCATTGCAACCCAGATTTTTCTGAATCCAGAACTTAAGTTCCTATTTCTCCACGCTCTATGTATTGAGAGCTTATTTTTTCTTAGCAATAACTAAGGAATGTTTTAAATTTCCTTCAATTTTCCTGAAGATAAAGAATTAGAAAGCATTTGACTTGCATATCTATTTTTTTCTAAAAGATTTGACCAAGATTTATGAAATGAGTGAGAGGGATTAAGAAGATGGAAATAGTGGTAATTCAAATAGATACTCAACTAACATAATATCTTTTGTACATTCTGCTAAAACCTGCAGCTCCAGATTGAGATTATTCAATTGATAGGGAATAACTACCATATTACCTAATTGACAAAGTCAGTTCTGATTTGTCAAATCAGCCCAATAAGACTTACTTTCTATCAGAAACTCTCACTTCATTTTTCCATTCAAATAGATGTGTTCCTGATTATTCCAGTGGCACTTCTGAGTTCTAAAGTAGATAGATATCATGAGTTTGTCTCCTGGATGAAATAAGATGCTACCATTTTTAACGTTTCTTACCAACGCCTTTTTCTGTTGCTTTCACAGAGCTCTTTTTACTTCTTTGCTCTCACATTTTTTAACAAGGTAGGGCCTGGAAGAGATGTGGTTGCTAAGCAAAACTTGCCCTTTCTTCCATTGCCCGTCTATTCAGTGTCTGCACACAGATCATTCCAACAAAAAGCAAAACATCAATTTCCGAGGGACACCACACACTTAAGAGAAATTTGTTTCAGACACAGAACACAGAGCCCTCCTGGGCTTACAGTTCCTCAGTCAGAGGAAGTTCCCTCGTGCCAGTATTTCACATTTTTTGTTTGAAACCATGGAGACTTGCTCTCCTAGGCAGTATTCTTACAGGGAGATTCTGAGAGGCCTCTCCCTTGTTAAATGGCAGAGGGCTATAATAAAAGGGGAGAGATCAAGATAAAAAGAGGGGTGCCTGGGGGGCTCGGTCCATTGGGCATCTGACTTCAGCTCAGGTCACGATCACTCAATCAGTGAGTTCGAGCCCTGCATTAGGCTCTGTGCTGACAGCTCAGAACCAGGAGCCTGCTTCGGATTCTGTGTCTCCCTCTCTCTCTGCTGCTCCCCCACTTGTGCTCTGTCTGTCTCTCTCAAAAATGAATAAACGTTAAAAAAAAATTTTTTTAGAGAGATAAAAAGATGCATCATCAACCAAATCAATTTGAAGTGAGGTTACATGAAGAAGTTGAGAGTTGTGGGTGGATAATCTTAAAATTAGCCATACCTTCCCACCATGTGTAATCCACTCTCTGTAGCCCCCGGGCCCGCATATGCCCCGTGCCCCACTTTGCAAGCTGCCGGTCTACACTGCCTACCTCTGCTGCTGCTTTCCACTCCCTGCTTCTTCAGTCTAGGGCCCTTCTGTCTTGTACTTCAGTCAATACTGAGAAGTCTACAATGAATCTCTAATTGATGAAGCCAGTTGCCTTTGCCCAGACCTCATCCTACTAGATATATCTGAAAATGTGAGCACCTGTCCCAGCTAAGAAGAAAGAAAATAAGGGATGTCGGAGAAAGAGCAAAACTGAAAGGAACAGAACTCTCTTAGCGTATGGAATATGCCACTGTATATCCTGAACAGGCCTTGAATTTGATCGCTTCGGTGCCATTACTTTTCTGGTTTGCCCTTGTTCTCGCTTCAGCCTGGCAGGGCCCTTCCTATTCCCGTCCGCTCGTTCGGGTTTCACAGACCCACGCATCCGTGAAACTCTAACCAGGCTCCTAGGCGACGATGGACTTGCTCTTCCTCTCTCAGCCGTGTTCTTGGTTTGGACTTTGTGGCACATCGCAGGATGCTTCTCATTATGGTTATTTAAACATGTGTTCCCCCTCTGTCTTGCTTGTGAGTGTGTGTGGCGGTAGTTAGTAGATACCTTCATTTTGGCTGGTTGAACTTGCCCCTGCTACATATTTGCTTCATAGATGCTGTCTTGGTTTTGGCAAAAATTGTTAGGGTTTGTAAAAAGCCCTCTCTAGTGTTCGTCATAATCATTTTGTTCATGATCGTATTCTGTCCGTAGTCTATACCAACAAAGATTTTCACTTCTACTCTCTTGCTCTCCCCAGGAATCAAAAAGATCAGAATCTCTTATGGACATTCATCATAAGAAATTAAAGACTAAGGCTGCCGAAGAGAAAAATAAGCCCCAAGAACGAATACCATTTGATCGTGATAAGGATCTCAAAGTTAATCAGTTTGATGAAGCTCAGAAAAAAGCCCTGATAAAGAAATCTAGAGAACTAAACACCAGATTTTCACACGGCAAAGGCAGTATGTTTTTATAAGTAAGTATACTTCAGTGAGGTATAGTTTCAAACTGATGAACTTGAACTTTTCTATATAATCTGTTATCTGCGAATGATTGCATGTAAAAATCTATTCCCTTTTATAATAAAGTAGATTATAAACCTTAAAATCTTTTTCTATAAGTAAACGGTGATTTTTTTTTTTTTTTTTTTTAATATTCAGCCTTGTGTGATAAAAAATGTAGTTTACTGGAAAAGTAGCCTTGTCCTCATAATAACCTAACCAGGCATTGCCATTAAAGACACTAAAATTTAAGTTTAGTTTACAAGAAATGGCAAAGGAAAGAGTGGTTTGAGGCTGGGGTAAATGTGCATGCTTTTTTTGTTTTTTTTTAAGTTTATTTATTTTGAGAGACAGAGGATCCCAAGCAGGCTCTGCGGTGACACAGGGCTCGAACCCATAAACCACGAGATCACTACCTGAGCCAAAACCAAGAGTCAGATGCTTAACCTGCTTAGCCACCCAGGCACCCCAATATGCATGCTTTTTTAAAGAATGGACAAAGGAAATGTGTTTGCAGTCTCTGTGTTAAATACGATCATAGGACGTGTTTAGTGCTTTGAAAGCTTCTCTATGAGTTAAGGTTCAAAATGATTACATCCTTCATCCATAGCCCAATCTGACAAGGGCTCATAATGGTGATTAAGGAATTATGTAAAAGCTGAGGTTGCTTCTTAAAACCTTTATCATTTTTAATTGTATGAAACCTACATCAATATTGAATTGTGGCTTTAAAGGAAAATACAGGAGTGCCCGGCTGGCTCAGTCAGTGGAGTATGCGACTCTTGATCTCAGGGTTGTGAGTTTGAGCTCTACACTGGGTGTAGAGGTTACCTAAAAATAAAATCTTGGTGTGCCTGGGTGGCTCAGGCAGTTAAGCCTCTTACTCTTGATTTGGGCTCAGGTCATGATCTCAAAGTTTGTGGGTTTACGCCCCGTGTTGGGCTCTGCACTGGTCACGCAGAGCCTGCTTGGGGTTCTTTCTTTCCCTCTGTCTGCCCCTCCCCTGCTCTCTCTCTCTCTCTCTCAAAATAAATAAACTTTAAAAAATAATAATAAAATCTTAAAAATAATAAAGGAAAATATAGTTAAAGTTAGAAATATTTTCCAACTTACTGAACTTTCTTATTCTTACTGCAGGGGGATTTCCCTGTGCAATGAAGAAAAGTTGAAGAATACTCTATTATCTGTCTGTCCACCTTCATTCCTTTGTTTTGAGTTTAAGATTGGAGATTATTTTAGTCTTAAAAGCCATACAAACTTACCTTGTGCTGTCCTTTACCTTGTCCTTTAAAGTCACGTGGAAACCTGAAGTCAGTATGTCTTACGTGGAATAGAATTTCATGTGCTTTTGGCTTCTGATGAAGTGTGGGCTTTTCTTCAAGTAATTATTTTGAGGATTTCCCCCCATCTCCTAATTTGTGTGACGTCTCTTAAGTACCCTCTAAGGTCTGGTCAGGACTATCCGCTAAATCTCCAGAAGAGCTTAGACTTCCTCGTGAGATACTATTAACCTGCCCTGGAGTAAGTGTGTTGGGTCCTTGCAGTAAGTCCATGAATTGGAAGTTATTTGGGTTTTCCCTCTAAACTTCAGCCAGTGAATGCACATTTACAAATAGAGGGTTTGGAGGTTTTGTCCTGTTAACATTTTGCTTGTTTGGGCAAACGGGGCTTTTTGTCTGTTGTTGGGTTTTTGTTTTTTCATTGGTTGGTTAGTTGGTTGGTTGGTTTTTGAGTCAGAAAGAGGGACCTCTGCATTGTCTCATGTGCTAAGGAAAAACTATTTCGATTTTTCCAACTTTAATAAGTATTTCTAGGGGAGGCAATCTGAGGGACAAAATATGCCATTAACCATTAAGTGTGAAGCCTAGGACTTGGTCTCTATGGTCTCAATCAAAGCTTTCTAAGTCTTTGAACTTTGCTTTGAGATGATCTAACTTAACCCATTTGTATTTAACAGATTTTAGCTAATTTATTGGGGACTGATCTTTTATATCAATCATGAATATTTTTTAAAAAAAATCAAAATTAGCCCTGAATACAAAAATATAAATGGAAACTCTAATCATAACCACTCTAATGAGAGTATATTAGTTTGTAATGCTTTAGGTACTGTTTCTTAAAATGTCAAATAGAGCATTCTAAATAGTTAAGGCCTAAATCCAAGTCCTCTAAATTATGTTTTCTTACAGAGTAATTCTGATTGTTCACTAGTTCTGTGTCCTAGTTTTGATGAAGTATGAGGAGTTTTGTTTTCTGTGGGGAAAAAAGAACACAAACCAGAGACTAGGTGGGAAGTGTGGGGTTTTAATGGAAAAAATTCTGATTCCTAGGGTTTTTTTAGGCATTATGAAAATTGAGTGAACTGTTCAGATTATGGCACAAATCAGTCTTCTTTACTCTCTTATAATACCAGTGTAGGATATTATAGCCCACTCGAGGAGTGTTGCTATTAAATAGATGAATTAAGGGTGCCTGCGTGGCTCAATCAGTTAAGCGTTGGGCTTTGGCTCAGGTCATGATCTCGCAGTTCATGAGATTGAGCCCCACATTTGGGCTCTGTGCTGACGGTGCAAAGCCTGCTTGGGATTCTCTCTCTCCCTCTCTCTCTGCTCCTTCCCTGGTCACACACGCGTGCTCTGGCTCTCAAAGATAAATAAACTTTAAAAAAAAAAAAAAAAAAAGATGAATTATTCTCCTAAGGAAATTGAAAAAGCTTCTTGTCTAAGCAAAATTGAACTAAAGATGTCATTTTTAGTGGGTAATGCCTTCTGAACACAAAACTTTGTGTAAAAGCATCCATTGCTCTCATTTAATTTGGTTATATTTTTTTCCTTGGTGAAATGAAGAAATGTTTTCCAGTTCCTCATCCTTAAATAAATTTCTAACATTATGTCTTAGGGAAACTTGGTATTTTTTTTAAAGTAAAAATGTCACCATTGGTTACTTATTTTTCCTTGCTTTATTCATCTTAAAGGGATAGGATGTTTCTGTATCGCATATTTACTATTTTTTTCTCTCACCCTTGAAGTGTCTTTGTCCTTAGCAAAAGGAAGAAAAACCTTTTCTTTCTGCATAATGCCTTCCATAAGTTGCCAGCTTACTGCCGCTTTAGATGTAATGCTCTTTCATGCCACCTGAGGACAATTTTAATAAAATATAAGGCCAGACCAGAGGGTTTTTTGTCCCTCTGAGAGATTAAGCCCAATATAACAACACTGATAATAAAAGAACAGAGTTGCTATTTACACAGGATACAAAGGTGCTCATGTCAGCCCCTCCCCCTTCCAAAGTGGTAAAAAGCCTAATTAAGTCAAGTCTCCATCCATCTGGAGGGAAATTGGCATTGTTGACATCTTCTAGTAAGAACTTTTTAATTACCGACATTTCTTGGTCAAGTTTTATAGAACCATGACGTCTTTTGAAACTTAAAAATGAAGAGGGGCGCTTGGGTGGCTCAGTTGGTTAAACGTCTGACTCTTGACTTTGGCTCAGGTCATGATCTCACGGGTTCATGAGATTGAGCCCTGAGTTGGGCTCTGCGGTGACAGCACAGAGCCTGTTTGGGATCCTCTCTCTCCCTCTCTCTGCCTCTCCCCTGCTTTCACGCACATGTACACACGCTCGCTCTCGCTCTCTCCTCTCTCTTCTCTCACAAGCTCTCTGAAAATAAATAAATAAACTTTAAAAAAGATGAAGAAGAAAAAAGCAATACTAAGTTCAAAAGGTGAAGCAGATACTCCAACTTTCTTTATTGTTGAAGGTGATATCTAAGTTCAGTGTATCTGAAATTATATGATTTTTGTCTGCCTGTATAAATTGTCATCTCAGATAGATTTAGTCGCTTCCACTAGTAACCACAAAAAAAAAAAAAAAAAAAAAAAAAAAAAAAAAAAAAAAAAAAAAAAAAAGCCATGGTCTTACTAAGAGTTTTTAATCGTGTTTGGATGTAGCAACCATTTGACATTTAATTTATCTCTTGAAATTTTAATGGTTCTATGAATTAACGACTTGTTTTAGAAGTGAGATTGAGATTTACCTGGTACTGAGGCTTACATGCTCCAGAATAGATTAATACTTATTCTATAAATTATTTGGTCCCCAAACATTATGATGCTTTATATTTCTTACATAGGATGGATAATGTTAATATTATTACTCAGAAATGTGTGATCTTGGGAGATAGTTTTCTAACTATTTACAAGAGTCCTTGTCATGTCTCTTTCACTTCTTCCATGGTATTAAGTATTTTAGAAAACAATTCACTGTTAATGTATCTGAGAAGAAAAATTAACATAGAGAGAAGTGGTCAGAGATAGTGCCTGTGCTAACATCAATGCCAAATCTCCTCTATCATGATAGTAATTTTACTTTGGCCTTGAATGGCATCATGAGATTTAAGTATGCAGTTAGAGGTCATGTATTTCCTATTATAGGATAGGTGTATGTTTTTGTGGCTTAAAAAATTGTTTAACTGTGACTGTATTATGTACAAAATCAAAGAGCTATCCACTGCCTCTTTGAATCTTTTCATTTTGAGCTTTACAATAAAAGACTTTTTAGAAAAGAATTCCTGATGTATAATTTTTTATGTACAAATAAAGTTTCATCTATATCTCAGGAGTTGTGGTCTTCTATTTTTGTTTTGTCTTGTTTTAATGTTTCTTTTATTTTTTAGAGAGAGCACGCGCAGGGGAAGGCAGAGAGAGGAAGACAAAGGATCCGAAGCAGGCTCCACATTGACAGCAGGGAGCCCCAAAGTGGGGCTCGAACTCACGAACACAAGATCATGACCTGAGTTGAAGTTGGTTGCTCAACTGACGGAGCCACCCAGGTGCCCCAATTTTTGTTTTGCCTTAAATATTATTAATTCATCTGGAGCAGGCAATATTAGTAAAGAGACTATTTCACAAAAATCTACTCTGGCCAACCAGAACATTTTAGGAAGATGGCTCACTTACCAGGTTTTCCTTATCCC